CCTCCCTGTTTTCCCTTTCCCCCCCTTTTATTCTTTTCCACCCTTTTTTTTACCCTTTCCCTCCTCCTTCTTCCTCTTCCTTCTTTCTCTTCTCCCCTATTTCCCTTTTTCAATTTAGACATGAGCTTTGAGACCCATCCCAGGATGGGAGAGTATAAGTGTCGGGTGGGTGCAGGCTTCTCTCTCTCTCTCTCTCTCTTTTTTTTTTTTTTTTTTTTTAATATATATTTCCTTAAAAAAGCCGGAGCGAAAGAGGAAGTTTCCTGCTCCCTCATGAGGAGCGGGAGAGGCCGGCGGGGCGCGGGACGGGGCGGGCCCGGTGCTGCCGCCCGCTGGGGGCGCAGGTGGGGCAGGGGTCGGTTGTGACAGGGCTGGACTTTGGGGTGTCCCCGGGGCCGGTTTGGGGGGTCCTGGTTTTAGGTGTCCCGGGTTTGGGGGTCTGGGGGTCCTGGTTTGGGGGCGCGGCCGCTGTCGGGGAACAGGGCGGGCGTGGTGGCGGCACCGCGGCGCCCCCCGGCGGCAATGGCGGCATTGCGGCCGCCGCTGCTTTCCCGCCCAAGGGCTCCGGGCTCCTCATCGTAAGGGCAAAATCCCCCCCGTCCCCCCGAAAAAGAACTCCAAACCCCAAATCATCATCGTAATAAAATAATTTAAAAAGAAACACCCTCGAACAACAATAATAAAAAAAAAAAAAAAAAAAAAAAAAAAAAAAAAAAAAAAAAAAAAAAAAAAAAAAAAAAAAAAAAAAAAAAAAAAAAAAAAAAAAAAAAAAAAAAAAAAAAAAAAAAAAAAAAAAAAAAAAAAAAAAAAAAAAAAAAAAAAAAAAAAAAAAAAAAAAAAAAAAAAAAAAAAAAAGAAACGTGGCTGTGCTGTTTTGGTCTGTTCCTCACATTCCCCATCCAGCTCTGGGGTTCTTGGCACAAAAAGTGACATGGATCTGTTGGAGCGAGCCTAGAGGAGGCACTAAGACAATCAGAGGAATGGAGCAGCTCTGCTGTGAGAGAATTGGGACTGTTCAGCCTGGAGAAGAGAAGGATATGGGGTGACCTAATTGTGGCCTTACAGTGCCTGAAGGGGCTACAGGCAACATGGAGAGATTAACACAACTAGGGGGAATGGCTTCAACTGATAGAGGGCAGGGTTAGATGGGATATTGGGAATGAATTCTTCCCTGTGAGGCTGGTGAGGCCCTCGTACAGGTTGCCCAGAGTAGCTGTGGGTGCCCTATCCCTGAAAGTGTCCAAGGCCAGGTTGGACAGCTCTTGGAGCAACCTGGGACAGTGGAAAGCGTCTCTATCCAGGGCACGGGGTAGAATGAGATGATCTTTGAGGTCCCTTCCAACTAAAACTATTCAGTAATTCTATGACAGGGGAGCTGGTAGTGCCTGATGGGCTGTGTTTGACAGTGAGGTGGGACGGGGGTCTTTCCCAGCTCCAGGTGGCCCCTCAGTGCCATCAGATGGGACTGGGGCTGTGGAGAAGGTGTAGCAGAGTGAGGGCACCCTCGACCTTCCTTGAGTTCAGCACTGGTGCTGGATGGAGCCCAGGAATCACTGAGGAGCCTCTCACCCAGCCCATAGGCTGGTCTTGGCACTGAGCCCCTGTGATGGTGGCACAGAGTCACACTTGAGGATGCCACAAGCAGCACATTTGCGTTATTTATCCACGGCTACACCTCTTGCTCCCTTCATCAATGTGCCTGCTCAGGATAGGTGGGTAGGGGATGTCTGCAGCTCTTCTGGAACAGGCTCCCCAGGGCAGTAGTCCTGACCCCAAGGCTGCCAGAGCTCAAAGGAGCGTTTGGACAATGCTCTCAGGGACACAGTGGGATTCTTGGGGTGTCCTGTGCAGGACCAGAAGTGAGAATCAATGATCCTTGTGGGTGCAGCTCAGGATATTCAATGATTCTGGAAAACCAGAGTGCAAAGGTGGAGCTGGCACTGGGGTGGTACTGGGAGGAGCAGGGTGTGCTCATAGCTACTTTACAAGCTCCCAGACTCTGGGTCATCACTCTTGGCATTACCTCTGGCAGTTTTCCACCACGTCTCTGCATGGCTGTGCCAGAACCTGGAGCCACTTCTGGCATAAATGAGCTCGGGTCTGGGAGGGGTGTCCTGAGGCAGCACTGCCACAGCGAGGAACACTAGAACACGCTGTGCTCTGCTCACTTTTCCTATCTGTGCCCCAGGCTAGAGGCAGCACTGTGTCCAGTGAGGCTTCAGTGTGGAAGAGTTCCCCCTGCTGCAGGAGGTGGTGAGGAAGGGATAATGCAGTAGCCCCCAGGACATTGTGCAAGGCTTTAGGAGGACCTTTCCAAGTGGTAACAGGCCAAGCAGAGGTTGCTGATGAATCAGATGCAGGCCAATACACCATGTGGCAGCACAGCGGACTAATTAATCATGTGGCATAGACATAGTGAAACTGGCAAAGTTAATTAAGCAGTACTGACGGTGGGGTGGATACATGTCAGCAATAAACAGTCAAGCAGTGTAAAAGGATCAAAGGGAAGCAGAAGCAAAAGAAAGTTCAGAATGTGGGCATGTTTGAGAAAGGATGGCAGCTGTGAAGGTTTCAGAGCTTGGGAGGTAGCAAGAGTTATTCTGATCATTTCCAGCTTATTGGGGTTCCACTGGGAAGTTGTAATTTGATGGTTTACCCCTTAGTATGAGCAGCAACCTTCCTTCACTTCTCCAGCACCAGGTTCTGTTGGGCTCCTCCCTCATATTTTTACTTCTTTTAGTTTTTTATGTCCTGCTGACTTTCACTATGACAGTCAATGGGCAGAGGCTGCTTTTTATGTGTTTAAGGAACACGTCCAGCATTCACAATGCAGCTGTGGAGCATGTGCTGAATCAACTTTAGTGTGACCTGAGGAGTTGCAGGCTTCAGAGACAATGTTACCTGTATCAAAGCAGTTAATTCCTCATTGTCCCAGCTTCAGAGAAAATGGGAGTAGTTTTTGGATGGTGAACTTTAGTCTGTTCCACACCAGAACAATTCACTGTCTTTCTGAATCTGGAGTTTTAAACAGAAAAAGAGACATGATGTTCTCCCATCTGGTTAAATTAAAATAGCATTGGTGTGAGATCAAGCTTACACTGTAAACTAAACACAACCTGGAATTTGGTCAGAACTTACTGCTCCTATGAGTTTTTACTGTAGTAAGGGAAGGTAGCAGTGCCTGCAAAAATAGGAGCCGTGCTCTGTCCCCTCAGAGAGAACCCCCACCGCAAGTTTTTAAAGATGTGAAGTTTGACAAGGATTTCAGCATCTTTTCGTTAAAAGATGCTGCGCTCAGGGTTGCATCCCATTTAAAAATGCAGTGCAAATTCCCACTGTAGATCCATGTGTCCATGGTAGCTTCTAATAAAATGGATCAGTCCTGTTGGAAACTACTCAGCAGGCAAACCAAGTTTGGTCATGTTAAGTGAGATACTTTTTTTTAACAGAAGGTGGAAATTAAACACTTACTCAAGTCTTGCAGCTTTAGCTGGCAAGATTTTCTCATAGTGCTATGGATTTATTTTGCTCTGGATGTAGTGACACCAGGGCGGGGGGAAAATGCCTGTGGAAAAAGGTATGTTTAGAAGGATTTTGGCTAATTGCAGTGGACTCTAGGGCAGTATGGCAGTCAGACAGCAGACTTCTGTGAGCTGTAGAGTGCAGGAATGGGAAACACAAACCAGTTTTAGAGCAGGGATTTTGCTTAGGAAGCTGCAAGGGAACACTGTAAGCAGCAGCCTCTGCCTTGCCTGTGGCTCCTGGGGAGGATTTTTGGCACCAGGTCTGCAGAGCTCCATTTTCCCCTAAGCTGGGCTGCACTGGGGGACTGAGTGAGGTGCTGCTGTTATGGTCTGCATGTTTGGAGAGGCTGGCAGGAGTAACTGCACATCTAGTTCTGGCAGCTGTAGGTGAACAGCACTCGGTAACCCAGAAGTATTTATGGGAGCCCACCAAAGACCATAGCGTGACAACCAACCCTGGGGCGTGGAGGTTTGTGTGGGAAACACGCTTCTGAGCCTGAGAGTTGGAAATCAGACCATTCCCCCAGGATTTTTCATTGCTCCAGTAAACATTTCAGGATAAGAAAGATTCATAAAAATTCTGGAGGTGGTGTTCCAATAGATAGGTAGAGATTTTTGGCAGATGTCCCATATTAATCTCGATTCTCAAACAGTGCAGTTTTTTGGAGCCATCCAAGCTCTTGGTGCAGCAGGTGTAATGCGTGCTCTGCTCAGTAAAAAGCTTACAGCCATCACAGCCAAGAGTGCTCTCTTCTGTTCCCATGGATACCTCAAAAATTGTCCTTCCACAGTTGCCTCTCTGTTTTCACACGTCACTGTGGGAGTGCACGTTGTGTTTGGTGACTGGGAGCAGAGCAGCATAGTTTGTCTTCTTGCCAAACCGGGAAGCAGTTGTGTCGTGACAATATTGCAACAAGCTTCTGAGGGCAATGGGCTTCCATTGGCATGTACCAGGTGCCCAGGAACTCCAGATCAGAACCAGGACAGTGCAGCAGGAGGGGGTTGCAGCATGCAATCCATGTCCAGGAAAAAGAAAATACTTTATTCTTTTTCTTGGCCATTGTCTTTGATTCTCCTAGTTTCTTGTCCCAAAAGTTGAGGTGGCCTTGTGGGGAGAAAGAGGAAGATAAAGCATGTGGGTAAACATGGAAAGCTAAACTTGTAAACATTCTGTTCTGGATTTTTTCTTTTGCTGTTCATGTGGCCAATGTATGACACATGGGAGCAGATGGGGACAGAAAATCTCAAAAGAAGGTTTGGAACCACTCAGCTTTCATGGGAGCCAGATCTTTCAGGTTATCTTGCAGGCAAGTCCATCACCCACCATCATGGGAGGTGGAGAATTCCATTAGTCTTCTTTCTGTGCTCTCTTCAGAGAGCTTGTGTTACTGTAGGCACTGGTTTGGTGCTTGGAGCTTTTAGCAGTTTCAAGATACAAGCATTGCTTGAATGATCTCCTAGTTCATGTAGGCTCAGATTGACCTCTCTGTTCTTTATTTGTTGTGTAATAATGAGGATCATTTAAGTGTTTATCTCAGCAAACATGTGGCTGTCTGTATTTCAGAGCTAGTCTGTTGCATTTAAAGGACTTCAATGTCTTCAGCTCTGATTTTGTGCAACCTCCTCGCTCGTAGCAACCTTCTACAGGGAGTTTATATCAGAGCACAACATAGAATTTTAAAATTAACTATTAAATAGCCACTTTTGTTTTCTTCACATGCAGCTTGGCTTGTTTAAGTGTACGGAGAGATGAAACACTGTCTGGGTGGTGTTGGGGTTGTGTGTTAGGGTCTTCAGAAGATGTTCTATGGCAGATAGGGCTTAAACCGAATAAAGTCAAAGATGTCCCTGGTTCTTGTTTGGCATGGGAAGAGCAAATTCTATGAAGTTCGTGTTGCAAAATAAGTGATATCACACTGTACACTCAGCCCTCCTGAATGACTGAGGCAGAGATGGGGTGTCCTTGGCAGCGCACAGCCAGCTCTGTGGAAAGCAGCTGCATTTCTTCCTCCACGCCCTGGGAATAGGTTGCAGCACATGTTTCCTAGTGCAGTCATCTGGCTCTTGCCATCCATGTATAGGGAATGAAGGTCTTTGGGGTTTTCAGCCCTGTTGGGTGGGAATTTTTAGCTTGGCTCGCTGGAAAGGCTTAGTTTGGGATGTTTTGTGTCTTTTCTGAACTGCTCAGATGTTGCAGGATATAAAGCAGCTCACACAGACTCGTGTGAAGTATGTGAGCTGTGGAGAGTATGTGAAGCTGTGAGCTGTGGAGAGAACTATCCTGAGGTTGAACATGTCATCAGCAGTTTTCTGGAGATGTCTCTCTGTGTGTCTTGCTGTCATCTTCAGTATCACTTTTGAAGGTTTTTCAATGTGTTAATGTTTTACATTATACTTTTGTGTAGTGCAGGTTCCATAGTTATAACACAGACATATCTCTGTTTTATAAATCTCTGCTACACTGATTCTTAGAGCAGCTCAACTTTGAGTAATCTCTCTTGGACAGGAGAAAACTGTCAGGCTACTTGACCAAGTGAGGAACCCAAGTAGCATATTTTAACAGCAATTATCAGAGTTTTGTGATAGAACTTTTTCAGTGGCAGGGTTCAGAAAACTGCTGCTGAAAGTTATTTTTTCTGATGTCTAGATGGTATCTGTGTGTAACTGTATGGATGAGGGACTTTTTATAAACCCTTAATAGTTGGTGTTTGTGGGGGTTTGTAATGCTTTTGTCAGCATGCTTTTGTAATTTTTGAGAGGTTTACGGATCTGGTGTGTGTAACTATGGACTGAAATAGAAATGGAGAAATACTGTTATAAACATGCAATTTATTGTTGTGTGCATATGGAGAACTCTTCAGCTGTTAAAGGTGGAGCCTGTAAAGGGAATGAGAAGCAAACTCGAAGGGAACTGATGTGTCTGAGTATCCTTCTGGACTCAGTCACCTGAAACTCATCATGGATCTGCATTCTGTGGGGACACATCATCATTATAACAAATTTCCACCATAAATTATTAAATGGAGACACCATGGAAGCAGGAAGGACTGCTTCTGATATCAGTGACAAACACTGATATACTGAGTTACAAACTTGTTAAGAGCACAATGCAACACTAACAACTTATCCTTTTGTTCTTTATTTCTAGGTCAAGATGTTGTTAAGTATAAAAAGTATCTTATGGATATGCTCTACCTTAGTTATAACATATATGCTACCTAAAGGTAAGTCTGTTGTACACAGAACCATTCATTAAAATCAGTTTAGTGGTCCAACTGGTGGGGTGTTTCCCAGGACTTGGCTGCTGGGATCTGGAGCAAGGATGTGTCAGGGCAGCTGCAGGTCTGCAGTTTGGGTAGAAAGGAAGGAGCCCTTACTACTTCTCCTGGCAATTACGTGCTAGAACTAGAGTGTGTACTCATGTGTGGTTGCCATGGTTATTTGAAAGGACAACATCCCTACAGCTGCTGCAGGCTCACAGGATAACAAATTTCCCAAGTTTCAAAGCAAGATCTTTCTTTATTTTCTTTTCCTCTTTTTTTCCAGCAACTCCTCAAACTGAATTTGGCCTTTGGGAAAATCAATTTTTTTTTTTTTTTTTTTTTTTTTAACCTGCCCAGCTTGAACACTGTTGTTAGCAAAGTCTTTAGGCTGTTCTGAAAGATAAAGGAGAATACTGTTATGCTTAGTGCAGCCAAGTAAAAAAAAAAAAAAGTTGATTTTTATCTCAGGCAGGTTTCTTACCAGAGCAGGACAAGGGACAACAGTTTTAAACTGGAAGAGAATAGGTTTAGATTGGATATAAGGAAGAAATTTTTTACAGTAAGGGTGGTGAGACAGTGGCACAGGTCACCCAGAGAAGTTGTGAATTCTCCATCCCTGGAATGGCATGGCATCTCTTGATGTCCCCTGACCTACTCCACTTTTTATTGTCTCTTAAAGGCTCCTGTTATCTCCAGAGTAGAATTTTTGGTCCTTAAGAAAGTTCTAGATGAGTGTCCCAGTAAGGACTTCTTCAGAATGTAAACCAGGTTGTGACCCATCCTTATTTGCCCAACATTTTTGAGAGAATTTTTGACCCTGATTTTCCTAGAACATACTGTGAACTGTGTGGGTTTATTTTTGAAGTTGAAGACTATTCTTTTACCATAGAGAGACTTACACAAATTCAAAGTATGGCCATGTCAAGGAACACATAGAGAAAAAAAATTTCCTTTTCCATGAATTCATCCAATTCATGGTCCCAAAGAGTCTCTGGGATCGACTCTCATCCTTCTCTTTTGCAGAAATGTCAGTCATTTTGTGTAATACTATTTTTAAGGATGAGTGTTAGAAGACTCATACAATTTTGGGGTATGCTGCTGTTTCTTTTGTTTGAAAATACTCTAAAAATAAAATGCATCTCAGCATTTTGAAGTGCTAGACATCTTGAGTTTCAACCTCTTTTTTTCAAATCCTGAATTTGAAAATAAAATTGAAGCCTTGAAATCTTTCATGAGACACAAATTCCCATCGCTCACCACTATTCCTGTCTTTGTTTTTCACCCTCATCTTTGTGAATGGTCACATTCATAAATACCTGCAGTGTTTGCACAGGGCTGTCCTTAGATTTTATGTAGCAACAAAAGTGCTTTTCCTTTGAGATTGTGAATGGCCTTGCATGGCTTCTTTAAGACTTTGAATTCTCAGATATGTGTCAGGAGGCAGCAGGAAATGGGTTTTAAGGTTCTAGGTTCCATGACTGTCCCTCTGCGAGACCTTTTTTTGCTCAGGTACAGGTGAAGGACTAATGACAGAAGTTCACCATCAAGGTTTATGCCTGCTGCTAGTATGGCACTTACTCACTTTGAACTAGTGTTAGGCTATTGTAGTTTACAAATTGGACATTGTGATTATAATCAGCGCTGGAGCTTTCCTTACCTGTTTTAAGTGTCTCTTTGTCATGCCATGGATGAGCACCCTTTTGTGAAAGCTTTGTAACCCAGAAGGCAGCAGAAACCCCCTAGATTGTAGTGTGTGGTACATTCTTTCAGAAGTATATAAATAACATGTCAGTGTAAACATCAGTTTGTGTGATCATGTTTATGTTTTAGGTGCTATAAACTACATGTGTTTATGCCTGTAACGTCTGCATATGTTATGCTGAATTCTGCAGCTAAGATTTACATTTGCCTCACTTCTTGTGACTTTCCTGCAGACTATAAAAGTAATTCTCCATTACTCTATGCCTCCTTCTCTTATTCTTCTTGTTCAGACAACAAACCAACAAGTAAAATATTCCCTAAGGGTTTACACTGGGCCTCAATCCCTTACTTCTACTGTCAGAATTTCATATAAGCTTGTGTAAGTGGTGCACTCAATTTAATTCATCATTATCTTCATTAGGAGCCTTGTAGTTAATGAAAATACTTCTTTTAGGCTCAGTGTTAATGGTTGGATTAGAAATACATTAGAAAATACATAATTTTGTTGATCCTTTCTATCGCTCCTGCTAGGCAGGGCAATATACCATATGTCTAGGCAGGTTGTTGATGAACTGAAAAATGAGATGCAATTTTTTTTCTCATAAATTTAGCTAAAAATAAATGGTATCTTTTATTCTTTAAGCATGTGGAATTTGTCTGCATAGTCAGTAGCAACATTCTGTTCCATTAAGCTTAATTATGAAAGAAAACCACTTCTCATGTAGGGCATTCTTTTCTTCAGACTCTTTGTCCGTTGCAGACCTACTAGTCTGGTCATTATGGTTGATGTGAAACAGAAGGGCAGAATTCTGTAATTTTTTTTATCTCCTTGGATTCACACTTTAAGAATTTTGTAATACCACAGAAGAAATGTACAAATTCTAGAGAAAGAGGCTTTGTCCTCAAGCAAGAGGTCCTTGATTCCACCTCTAAAGGAAATTATAAAGTTATGTGTCATCGGTAGGATGAGTTGACTTTGCAGCTGGAATAGTGGACTGGGAGGAACTACGGTAGCATGACAACAAAAATCCCCAATGTGTCAGGCACATTACCTCCAGGATCTGCCCAAAATACAACTGCACCAGCTCTGGTCCCACCATCTTGTACAACTCCCTCATTTACTTTTCTGGGAGTTCTGCCAAAATAAATGTTGTGGCCAGGTAATTTGGGTTTAGCTGTGGGTTTATTTCCTTAATGTCTGTGCATTTTCCCTAATAAATTAATTATGCCTGAGCGATACAGACTAGTCAGCAGCTGAGGAAAATGCTTGTATTAATTGCCAGCAAGCAAAGTTATTTCAAAACCATTCTCTTCTTGGGAATACAGATGTCACAAGTATTCTAGGTCCTACATGAGGTGGAAACTTGTTATGAACACAGTGTTGGCAAATAATTGATTTTTCTGAGCTTGTGCTCCAATTTACAAAGAGTTACCTATGTTTTGGTCATATTTTTGCCCTCCATATTCCTTCTAAGAAACAGTCTATCACATACCATTGATAGTGGATGACTAATCTTACATTTCAGATACCATATCAGACAAATTTTTTTTTTTTAATAGGGAAAAGCTTCTGCTTCTCCTTCTTTCCCCTTCTCCTCCTTTTCCTTCTCATTCTTCTCTTCCTTCTTCTCTTTCTTCCCTCCTCTTGTCAAAACAAATAGTCTTTTTCTGTGGTGCTTTCTGGAGTTAGAGAGATGTGTCTGTAGCTACAGTCTCCTGTTTTGGGATGTAACACATTTTAGGCTGGATCTAGTTTACATATCATTATGATATGTGTTATTTGCCAAGGGTTCCAGTTAGCTGATATGAAGGTTTTAAAGAGAGGAAATTTCCTCAGGGTGCAGTGCTGATATTGCAGATCACTCATAATCAAAAACAGTGCTCTCAAATGTTTGTTAAAATTCCATCAATCAGAATAATTATAACTAGGTCATTCTTCATTTAAGAAGAAAGTTTCTGTACTGTCTACGGATGATAAGAGATCATAATAAATACTAAATATTTCGAGACTGATTTTAATCTTCCACCTGTGAAATTTGGCAATAATTCCATCACAACTGATAGAACTGAGAAGTCATTCTGCTTCTTTATCTTTAACCTACTGTAACTCAGGGAAGTTTCAAGAAATTAAGGGTGATATAAAAGGTCTCTGATCTAATGAGTTTTAATGGCATCATCTTGACTCTGTCTGAATTGCATTCCCAAGGAATTCTAGTTAGGGGGCTGGACAGAAAGGACCTGAGAACTTCCATTCAGAATTCTGGGGACTCCCTGTATCAGTTAATTTTGCTGTTTTTCTAGCTAGTGCTTTATTATTAAAATGCTTAGACATCAAGCTGCTGATTCTTTTATTGAACTTTTTAGATAATACTGTATTTATCCTGTAAAAAGTAGTCTGTCTCTCTTAAAATAATCAACTTAATGAGCAATTTTCCTGTTTTCTTCTCTTTTTTCCCCCTTCCTTTTAAAGAAAGATAAAAAATCTCTTCATTCTCTTTCTCTTTTCCTCTTCTTTAATTTCCCTTCCTCCCCTAGTCCCCTACTCTTTATAGAGAGATGGAGAGATTATATTTTTATTATGGATAAATAGCTGGATAATTTTCATGTGGTGCTGTCTCCTACTTCATGTATCACTTTGTTGGTGTCCAGTATATTAATTTATTATACTTCTAAACTTTATGGCTCCAAGTTCACCAAAATGATGACCAAGTTCCACCTTCCAAAAAATGTTAGAGTGCAGGACAATGAAAGAAGTGAAATAGATTCTGTTGTGCATCAGCTTTTAATGTTCACTAAGCCACCATGTATGATGAAATAACAGCACATAAAAAATAAATCCATCAGAAGTCCTCTCTCCAATTGCTGTGTGCAGGTTGGATGAACAGTACTCAACTTCTCCCTCAGGATATTGTCAGATGGAAGTGTTCGCAAAATGTTTGCAGCTGGAGATGTCATAAAAATGATAAAGGTCCTATCATGTCAAGTCTAAGCCAAGCAGGGACATTCTGAACTAATTAATTTCTGCAGTGTGTTAAAGCTCCTGAGGCTACAAGGAAACAACTTTGAAAGAGTGACTGTTTTGGGGAATCTCATTGAAAAGGCTTTTGTTTCATCATGTCTGCAATAAAAAGAGTAACTCCTGGAAGAATAGAGGAGTGAAGGTTATCATGTGGGCAAAGTCATGGACTATGCTTTCCTCTGAGGACAGGAGCACATGAACAAGCTGCTGTGAGGAAAGGCAAGGTGTAAACATCAGTAAGCTCTCATATATGTATTGTTTTGGTCAGCAGTAGGTGAGAGATAACTCATCATCTTTCACTCAAAGTGGTCTTCTTCCTGTCAATTGAAGAATGCAGTTCATCTGTCACCTGAAATTTCAGACCAGTTTCTGAAGGTCAATAACTTGGTGACTGTAACAAATGGAGAAAATAAACCAGAATTAAATTTGCCCAAAGAGAAAAGGGCTCCAGCAGCAGCCCAAGGTTGGTAAAAACACTTTTTTTAGCTTATCTTAACCAATCAAATTAGCTAAGGTTCAGATGTTTCAGACCTTGTGCAAGCAAACTATTAAATAACAACGAAATGTATCTGTTTCTCAATTTGCCATTTCACTTACATTATTTCTCTGTTCTCTCTCCCCTCTCTCTCTTTTTCCTAGTTAAAGCAGAAAAAAAAACCATGGTAAAGGGTTCTCTCGCTGGGACTTCAGTGCTACCATGCTTCTTCTCAACCACCCCCACCATAGCCTCCAGCTACGCAGCCGAGTACCTCCGGATCAAGTGGTCAAAGGTGGAATTGGATAAAAGCGGGAAAGATGCAAAAGAAACCACTGTCCTGGTGGCCCAGAATGGCAACATCAAGATAGGTCAGAGCTACAAGGACAGAGTGTCTGTACCAACCAACTCAGAAGAGACTGGTGATGCCTCGCTGACCTTCTCGAAGTTGCGTGCGAGCGATGCTGGAGTCTATCGCTGCGACGTCATGTATGGGGTGGAGGACACACAAGGCATTGTCTCACTGGCTGTTGAGGGTAAGGACTTGCCTGTTTCATTTGTAACCAACACTGATTCTGGTTAAATTAGTAAAACTCAGTAATTAACACAGAACTGGGGAATATTTAAAGGAGCATTTTGAGAAATTTGCCTCTGTTTGCACAGGATGAGAAGAAGCAACAGCCCTGCATCTGAAGCTGCAGTGGTCCTATCTTGATGTATCACACAATGTTGCCATCAGAACCACTCTTTCTGTGGCAGGAATGTCAAGCACAAAGGAAGTTTGCACCCAGTGATAAAGGTTGCATAGGCAGAGGGAAACTCATCTGATAGAGGGGAGGGATGTGCTAAATGTGGAGTGTCCAGTGATAACAGTTTGCTTGCCATCGCTATGATGAAATAGGCTTCAAAATTTTGAGGGGGAGAAGTCTACTTGTAGAGAGACAGAAGAGACAGGACTTTCAAAATCGTAGAATTGTTGAGGTTGAAGACCTCTAAGATTATCAAGTCCAACCACTAACCCAGCACCACCATGTTCACCCACCAAACCACATCTCCAAATGCCACATTCATGTGTATTTTGAACATTTCTAGAGATGGTGGCTCCCCTACTTTCCTAAGGAGCCTATGCCAATGCCTGACCACCCTTTCAGCGAAGGTGTATTTCCTGATATCCAGCCTAAACCTCCCGTGGCACAGGGGCTGCCCCAAAACCTGCTGTACAGCCCTGTCAGTTTGGCACCAAGTCTGAGATAACAGACTGTGCTGAAAGGCAGGACGTATTAGCCCTGGCTCTGTGCCATGCATAGGCGAATTCTGGACCTAGGTTTACTGTGTGTGCTTAGAAAAACAATGTGCTGTGTGGATGTATCTCCTTGCAGGAGCCTTGGTTTGGAACCTGCCTTGCACTCCTTTGCAGTTCTGTGTTTTTTGGAAGTCCAGTATTTAATCAATTGACTGGATCCCAAAACAAACATTAGTATCTGCTGCTGGAAATTATGGCTTTGGCTAGAATTTTTTTGTGAGCTTAACACTGCATTGTTCTTTCAATATGCCTTACCTAACATGAACAGTCTGTTGGATTGGATTCGATGAAAGGATTTGAAGGTGTGGTCTTAATTTGGAGATGCAATAAATCAGTGTTGCCACTAATGCCTGCATAACCTCATAAACTCTTGGTCCTAATGAAAAAAGCAAAGGGGATCCTGGTTTGAACATTATTTTTCAGTAACGAGTGTACCTGGCATTTCTTACTCCTTTTCAAGTGCTCCCTTGACTACATATCTATATCCAGGAGCAGCAGATGTTTACTACAATAAAATATCTGATGATATTCAGCTTTTGCAGTTAGTGTTCCTGAAAAAATACTGCAAAGTCATGAACAGATTACATTTATGTTTTCAATTCAAAGAAAAGTTCACATGCTCTATTTTTTTTTCTGTGGCTGTTCTTTTCCATGATTTAATGTTAAAATTTTAGGAGAGGAAAAAGATAGATCTTGACCCAAATGAAAAATAACATTTTTAGACTGTCATTTGTGCACTCCATTCTCAATTTTCTACAGTGTTGTGTAAACAAGTGTCGTTTATCAGACTCATAAGAATTTCTTGTGAATGTTGCTGCTCAAATCTTCTGCCCCCTCTTCACCTCTTCAGTGAGGCTTTGTGGTTTCTTATGTGTTCAGCTTTTATTTGTAAAAACAAAAACCACTAGTCTCAAAAGTGAATTATCTCCATTGTGTTGCCTTTTGAATCTGCACCCTAAAGTGACACCAGTTGAAGAGGGATTATCTCCTGTACGCTCCCTTTGTGAACTCTGCACTGCCTGTCCTTAGTAAGGTATTTCCATGTCAACTGAGGTAATTCCAGAGCTGAGGGCTGGTTCAGCACTGTGCTTTGGTCAGCTCTCCTGGGTGGACCTGGGGCTGTTGCTTGCACAGTGACCCATGAAGTCCTGGCAAATTTATCACCAGTTTTGTTATTTTGCACATTTTATGCTCACATGTAGTAAGCCAAAAATACCAGCATTGCTCTGAAGTAGATGTAATTCTTCTTTTGCCATGATAATAGATTCATTAGATTCATTAGATTTATTAGATTTATTAGATTTATTGATTTATGTGTATTTATGTGTATTTTTATGTGCATTTAAACCAATTCAGGACTTGTGTCTAGATATTTTCAGGATCTCTATTTGTTTCATGGACATTCCCTAATTTGAAACCCTCAAACAAAAAACACAACTGAGCATCAATGAAGTCAGGGAGATAAGCTTACACAACTGGCTTGCTTGTTTTTCAAATTAACCTTTGCTAATAACATAATAGGTATGTGAGACAGCTAATTTGAATAAAATTACTGTAATTGCTATTTCTATCCTTTAGGTATGCTGGGTATATAAAGCTGCTGTTGAACATGCTGTACATCAAACAAATGCATTTTACCAGTGATGAAATCTATTGTGAACTAAAAATGGGATTTCTGAGGAAGAGTAACTTTCTTTGTAACATATAGATTTTCTCAAGTTAAGCTGTACAAAATGAATTGATGGTATTAGCCATAGAAATTAAAACTTTTAATGCCTAAGTATTTTTTTGCCTGAGCCTCCAGCCCAAAACCATCTCCAAAACTTCTGTGTATTTGTGCATCTATTTTTTCTTTCTGCTTACCTATTACAACTGACAAATTTGATAATTTGCATGTCAATATCCAGTTAATTTGCTCTTTTGGTTGCCAAATGAACTTCTGAAATTCTGAAAAGTCATAATCATGTGTTATGAACAGCAAACTTGTGTCTGTACCATTTCAGACAAAAGATCTGGCCGTCCCAGGGTACTGTTCCAATGAAAGCAACAATGGATGATATCAAAGGGTAAACCTAAATATTTACTCTATTACTGTCAGAAACTTGTCATCCATGGAATTACTCACACAGAGGCTTTATGTTATTTAGTCCAGAGCAGGTATTTTTTTTCCATTTGTTTTTTGGAAGTCTGTGGATTTTTAGTATCCACAGCTGGACTCCTAGTTAAGCCACCTCTTAACCACAGCTGGTTATCTTAGTTATTATTCACAAGGAAGATATATTTCTCATCATCCACTTTGCCTTTTTTTCTGCATTTCACATTTCTGCTACATCTCTTTTCAGCAGGTAAAACTTTCCAAAGAGTGACAGGAAAGTCGTAGCAAAATAGGAGTGGAAGGATATGTTGGGCTCCATGAATTCATTCCTTCAGCACTGTGAGTCTCCACACTATGTGTTGTGCTGCCTGCCTTTAATAATCCAAAAATCAACTGAGAACACCTATTCACATGGATTAGGTGCTTCCCATACTTCACCTCTGAGATCAGTTTTGCTATTTTTAATTTTGCAGTTGATGAGAGTGTAAGGGAGAGAGGAAGGGAACCACCTAATTTTAGCCCATGTAGGAAGTTCCAGGACAGCCAGATGTCTGCCCTGCCTGTTAATTGCATCTGCAGAGCTGTCCTTGAGCCAGGGGATGGTGCCCACGGAGGGGCAGTTTTGTCCCACTGGATACCCTCTCTCCTGTTTCTAATTGTGGGAAGTGCTTTCCTCACATCCTGCTTATTGCTGTAATTACATCAGCCTCTCAGAAAGGGATATTTGGTGTTCAGAATGGATCCAACAGCATCACAGTGTTAAGAGGCCTCAGCTTCTTTCAAGAAGAGAAATGCAGAATCACAGAACATTTTGAGTTGTAAGGGACCTACTAGGATCATCAAAGTCCAATCCTGAGTATACAGAACAAGTCATTCACACTCATTTTTTCTTCCATGTATTTTCTTCTCTGCCTTCTGTGCATGGCCCTCTGAAATCTTCCCCTTGCCTCAGGAGCAAATCTTCCTTTGTCAGGTTTTGTAATTTCATCTCTCTACAGTGCTTTGAGATTTTCTTTCAGCCTTTCTTGATGTTATTAAACCCACAGATCAAACTGTCTCCCATTGGGAGTTCTTGGCCTCACAGTTTTTGAATGTTCTTGGGTGAGATGAGCCCTCTGCTATTCCATATCCCTGGTGACTGATTTGAGAGATTTACGTGTGATGATTTTAGACTTGGCTTCTAGCCTTTAGCAAATCCAGCTTTGGTGAGTTGAATCTCAGAAAGGATTCTGTAAAAAGTATTGCTGTATCTTTCTATGTCCGCATGTATTCCTTCTCTCCAGTTATAATGAAGTCCACTTGTATGATATATTTTTGACATACCTTGTAAAAAACTGACCTAGAAGTGAAATGGGACAGTACTCTTCGTTCTGGAACATAACTGAATATTTAATTAAATTCTTGTTTTGATATTGGACAGTGATATTGGACAACAAAAAATAACATGTATGACCCAGTGTAATTAAAAAAACCTAAATCTCAACCAAGCACTCGAGCTGATTTTTTGTTATCTTTCTTGGAGATAATTTGATTTAAAGGGATCAAAGTAGCAAATGGGATCCTTCCAATTTTGTCACTTTTTTGTCATAGCTTCTCAGTGAATATTTTTTCCCAAAAGTGAGAGGACTTTATTCTTTTCTTAGTGATATTCTGGGAGTCCGCTGTTTTTGTGGGCCTGTTTGATTACGCTGCAAATCTGGGGGACTTTTTCCCATTTTTTTTAATTTTATTTTTAATTGTTTTCTTTTTAAAGGTAGTAAAGAAAATCCTAGGCTTAAAATACTGATCTTATTAATGGAAAGAAGCAGCAATTAGGGAAGCAGGGTAGATGGCAATTCACATTTTCATGTTTATGCAAACTCGTCTTTCTTACAAACATTATAATGATAATAAATGAAGGTTGTTTCCATGTGGGACTGCTGTCACTGCTGTCCACGGCTTGGACAGGGGCACTCTGTGCTGGGTTAAGAACTGACTGGAGGGCTGGGCCCAGAGAGTGCTGGTGAACGGGGCTGCATCCAGCTGGCGGCCGGTCACCAGTGGTGTTCCCCAGGGATCAGTGCTGGGCCCAGTCCTGTTTAACATCTTTATCGATGATTTAGATGAGGGGATTGAGACCATCATCAGCAAATTTGCAGATGTCACCAAGCTGGGAGGGAGTGTCAAGCTGCTGGAAGGCAGGAGGGCTCTGCAGAGGGATCTGGATAGACTGGAGAGATGGGCTGACTCCAGTGGAATGAAGTTCAACAAGGCCAAGTGCCGGGTCCTGCACTTTGGCCACAACAACCCCCTGCAGCGCTACGGGCTGGGCACAGAGTGGCTGGAGAGCAGCCAGGCAGAAAGGGACCTGGGAGTTTGGAGCGACAGGAGGCTGAACATGAGCCAGCAGTGTGCCCAGGTGGCCAAGAAGGCCAATGGCATCCTGGCCTGGATCAGGAACAGTGTGGCCAGCAGGAGCAGGGAAGTGATCCTTCCACTGTACTCAGCATTGGTGAGGCCACACCTTGAGTATTGTGTTCAGCTCTGGGCCCCTCAGTTCAGGAAGGACATTGAGGTGCTGGAGCGGGTCCAGAGAAGAGCAACGAGGCTGGTGAAGGGACTCGAGCACAAGTCCTATGAGGAGAGGCTGAGGGAGCTGGGGTTGTTTAGCCTGGAGAAGAGAAGGCTTAGAGAAGGCTCATCACTCTCTTCAACTACCTGAAGGGAGGCTGTAGCCAGGTGGGGGTTGGTCACTTCTCCCAGGCAACCAACAACAGGACAAGGGGACATGGGCTCAAGCTCTGCCGGGGGAGGCTTAGTTTAGATATTAGGAAGAAATTCTTTACAGAGAGGGTAATCAGGCATTGGAATGGCCTGCTCAGAGAGGTGGTGGATTCATCATCCCTGGAGGTTTTTAAACAGAGATTGGACATAGCCCTTAGTGCCATGATATAGTAATTGGAGTTGGATCAGGGGTTGGACTCGATGATCTTGGAGGTCTTTTCCAACCCAATCTATTCTATGATTCTATGATTCTATGATTCTATGATTCTATGAAAAGTGCTCTTAGCCCTGAGAGATTACACATTGACAACCTAATTGATCTATTCCTTCCACAAGAATTCCTCTGATTTATCTCTTAAGTGTTTGAAGAGATGTTTTTATTTAATCTGTTAGGCTTACCGGTCTTGAAACCTCATCTCCTCTTGATGTTGAACTTCTGTGCTTCCTTTCTGACTAAATTATGGTGGGCTTCTGCATTTTTAAGATAAGTTGATCCCAAGGAATCTCCTTGGGAAGAGAAGAGTGCCACTGAAGGATGGGAGAGGGAAATTTATTTCTAGGTAATAAAGACACAGTTAGTGCCAGGAATCTCTGTCCTTACAGAGCAGGAGGTGCAGGGCAGAGGACTTGGAAAGAACTTTTCTCACAGTGAGTTTCCTGAGGCTTTGGCAAGGCAGCTCCTGCTGATGCAGGGCAAGCCTACCCTTCTCAGACTGCCAAAGATTAAGACAAGGGTCAGAAGATGGCTGGAAAACCTCAAACGAGGGACATACATGAATTAATCATGTGGGAAGCTGAAAACCCTGCCCTGTTCCTTCTTCTCATACAGCGCTCAGTCTTGTAACCTCTATTTTGGGGTGTGTTTGTGATGTAAGTTTTGTTCTGCATTAAAGGCAAGGAGTGTCATCAAACTGTCTGCCAGTTTTGGCAGTGGACTAGGGCTTATTCTGGGCATCTGCACCACAGTGCCCAACACTTAAAGGCAAAAATTAACAGAATAACAACCACTGCCATAATAACCTTTTATCCTTTTCTCTCTTTGCTGTATGAGACAACTTCTGAAATTAGGGCTTTATGTGGCCACATCCAGCACTGCATGTGGCAGCAGCCTGAGCTCACTAGTGAGAGTAAACTGTAACTTATTAGCTATACCAGGACCTGATAAACTATCTTCCCCTGCAGTTCCACAAGGTTTTGATGCACCATACCCTGGTAAGTAGCACAGGAAAGTTGCCACTCAGAGGTGTGGAAACAAAACCAGACTTTAACCCATGGAAACTGTGGTTTGTTAAAAGTTAAATACTTTCCATTGTCTGGTCAGAGACAAATGATTAAAAGCCGTTCACTCTTGCTCTGATAGAAGTGAATTTTGGATGCTACAAATTACTTCCCTGTGAGTGCTCTTCCTTGCTGAGACTCCTTCCTGTAATTACACTGACTTTGTTTGCCAGATGTTCAGTGACAACATTATACTGCTCTAGTCTGTTTTCCAGTTGCTTTATTTGTTCCTAGGACAACTCCTTCCTTGCCTTTTTTCTTTCAGGGAGGAAATAGACAAAGGGGGAATAAAAAAAAAAAAACCACCCCAAAAAAACCCTTTACAAATGTTTTAAAGTGCAAAGGCCTGGGCAATGGGTTTTGCCCCTCTCTCTATCTAACTGAAACAATGAAAATCCTGCACTTTAATCTTCTTAGCCCCAGGGGGTCTTCTAATTATTGCAGCTGTTGCACAGGCTTATGCATAGTGACGTCCTCCTTCCCATTCATCTTGGAGGCTCTTTCATGTCCATCAGCTCCTCCTTGATGGAAATGGAAGAGCCTCCAGCTCTTAAGAATAGGTGAAGTTTACCTTTAGGATCAGGCTGAGGAGAACAAAGCATTCCCCGAGTTCCTTTCCAGAATTTACAATTGACCAAAGGCTCTTCTTTGCTCACTACAAAATCCACTTTAAATTGGTAAGGATATTAACTCTTTAGTCCTGACTTATTCAGGTGTCACAGGGATATCCCCAGCACATGCCTAGCTAGGAAGGGCAGTAGTTACTTGCAATATAGAAGAAATGAGAGGTGAGATGGCTGGTTGTGGAGAATGAACTCATATATTTAGCAGCAGGAAGTTTTTTTAAAAAATGCAACTTCAGAGAACTATGTTTCCATCCCCTGCTAAGGTAATGAAGCTTCTCGTGGCTGTGCTGAGAAGCAGGGCTCTTTTGTCCAGTTGAAGTCATGTAGTATCAGTTAAGCAATCTTGGGAAAAGAAAAAAAAAAGAGGCAATTAATCTAAATGAATACAAAATATATTTTAAATAACATTAAAACTGAATTGAAAAATTGCTTCATATACATGGATGTTTCTGGTTTGATGCTGAGTTACAGGCCCAGTACCAAATGTTATCTGTTACAGAAACACCAGTGTTTCCCAAAAAAAAGGAAAGTTTTTAAAAGTTTGTTTATATTTAACAATAATAGGCAGTAAAGTCAGATGCTCAGCTTGTGAATATTATTACGGGTTGTAGTAGTGATTCAGGGTAAATGTCTTATCTGCTTCCATTGTGAGCTGCGCAATAGTTGCGTATTTTTTAATTTTAGACTCAGAACACCAAGCACATCACATGAGCTTTTGTTTTTCTTTATTATTGTACTACTAATACAGCAATGCTCATTTATATGAGCAGGTATTTTCCTCAAAGTGTCAGCCCATGTTATTAAATTCTGAATATATTAAAATAAATATTTTAGTGCATCTTTTAGTATCTAAAAAAACCCAACCAACCAACAAACAAACAAACAAAAAACCTCTCAAAAAAAACACGAAAAAACCTCCAAAGAATATTTTTTGTTATTTTAAGCTTTTAAATGCCAAATGTGATTATTTGGTCTTGCCTGACTTGTTATGCAACAAAGCTGTCTGGGGCAGCGTGGCCCCCATCCACCCTGTCATGCTCCTTTGGCTCCCAGCAAGGGATGAAGATGCCCTTTGGAAGCTGTCCCTGTTCTCTGCTAGTCCCTGAAATTGGATGGGAAACTCTTTGGTAGCTGGTGTGTGACTCCACATTAAATGATGTAATATGGGGATTCCCACCATTTTCTCTTTCATTTCCTGTTTCTCTGCAAGTAGCTTTGATGAAATTTATGTCTGATGGCTGAGGTTTAAACTACCTGTGAGTAGTTCTCAGATAAAATTTTCTATTTTAATTTCTTATTCCATCACAACAAGAATAAAAATGTATATTTTCCATACATTGGCCATATGTAGACCTTCAATAAGTGGCAAAATTTTACTGAATTTATCTGCAAGAGAAAAGAGTTTCTAAATATGTTGCAATCTCTTGCATTGTTTCACTAAGTGACCCATATTTCTTTTTACTCTTAAATTAGCAGACATTTTCCACCTTTCAACAGTGCTCTAATAACAAATACTTTGAAAATCGTTATTGCTATGTCACCATTTTCCCAAACTGTATTACAGTATGTTATTGCCTCACCTTGAAGTACTCCAGTGAAATCATCAGAGAAAGGGAACATTTTATGGTTGAGGTTTTTTTCTTTTTTCCTTGCTCATTTTGTTGCTATTCTGTGGATGTTTTATGGTGTTGCAGTGGTTTCTGAAGAATTTAGAGTGCAATAAGTGAGGTTGGATGTTATTTTTCAGAGACTGTCAGGGGACACCCCTTTGATGGTAAACTGTAAAAGAGAGTGGCAATACAGGGAAGTGATTTTGCAAGGTGGAGTTGCTGTTCCTGCCACTTCAGTGCCCTTTTTGGTATGTTTCAGCTATTGTCAAATTCTGTGGGAATTATGTGTATGTAGAAAGCAGAAAGCAGATCCTGTCTTAACCAAAACCATCTTAACTCTAGGCCTCATCTCGAAATATCCAGCAACAGCTAAAGTTGTCAAGTCTCTTTCCAGAACAAGAAAGACCCCCAATAAAGGCAAAGTTTGTTTTACCTGTATCGTTTAGAACATGTGCAAGAAAACATTGTTATGAAAAATTGACTAAAAGCCACATATTTACAAATTTAATATTTGTAGTAAGCTTCTGATGCATTAGGAACATATTATAGAACTAGATCAGGGCTAACCAATGTGCTTCAAAAGCACATTTTTTGGGGGTATTTTATCATTACCTGGTGTCAACCACTAGAGGGGGAACATCATTTATATTAAATACGTCTTTTAGCCTTTTATTATTTTTATTCTACCCATCTGTTTCAGCATTTTAACAACACCTAGGCAGAGTTACAGCACAATGCTGGCTGCAGGAAGAATGCAAAACATGTCACTAACAGAAAAAATTTTGTTTTTTTTTTCAGGTGTTGTATTTCACTACCGTGCAGCGACTAGCAGGTACACCTTGAATTTCACACAGGCTCACCAGACCTGTCAGGACAATGGTGCTGTGATGGCAAGCCCAGAGCAACTGAAAGCTGCTTATGAGGATGGGTTTGAGCAGTGTGATGCTGGCTGGGTGTCTGACCAGACTGTGAGGTAATGTATTCAAACGTCCCCCTAACACACTTTCTCAAAATTTATATGCTTTGCCTGTGCAGGCTTAAACTGCTGACTTGCCCTAATGCTGACTGTGTTGCACTCCAGGTATCCAATTAGACATCCAAGAGTTGGCTGCTTTGGAGATAAGATGGGAAAGAAAGGAGTCAGAACATATGGGCGCCGCTTCCCTAACGAGACTTACGACGTGTATTGCTATGTGGAGCGCATGGAAGGTAGGATGGATTTGCAAAACGCATGGGATCTGGGCTTTAGATCCTCATGTGGAAGGGCAAAGAAATAGGAAATCTCATTTAAAATAAGTTTTGGCTGCTTTGGATCTGCAGGGAATCGCTGAATGGAGGAAACCTACAGTTTGTGGTCTGGTAGGTCTTAATTAAAGACAAATGTGGAGCCTGCAAAGAAACAGTCAGGGTTAAACCTGCTATACTTAGTGCAGCAGATCTCACAAAAATGGCTGTTGAAGCTTCTTTTGTTTTCTTGAATGTTATAAAAGTGTTTTCAAAAAAACACATTCAATGTTTGACAAACTATATATAAATATGTATACATATAAAAGTGGACATAGTATATGTGCTTACTGTATTATAGTTCATAGAGTATGTAATTAAGTTTTTTATGTGTTTATGGTGTAAAATTAGACAGGTACTGAATTGCCATCTAAGTTTAATAGTATCTTTTTTTTAAGGGGGCATTTTAGCACCAAAAAGAAACAAGAAAAAAAACTTTCTAGTGAGGAATCTGGACCTTTTTTAGTAAAATTCTTTGCCACTTCACAGTACAGCTACAGTCTTTGGAAAATCTACTATTTAAGGGGCGCTTGTGAGTGATCATGCTACATGGTGACTGTGAGCCATGGATCATGTTGTGAATCCTGTGGTATCTTGTGATCGATCTATTGTTGGGATCTATGATCAATCCTTATTCAACAAAGGGTTTGATGGTAAAGAGAAAAATATGTGATAAGGCAGTTTAGCCCATGTGGACAAATCTCCATACTACAGGTGTGATGTTGTTATAATTTCTTATAATCTCCCTTCTGGAAGTGAATTTAACTATATCCTTTCAGTGGGCCCTTACGCTCCAAACATCAAATATCCTTATGCTTAGACATTACTATGACTAGTTAAATACATAGAATTAAAATGTAAATGCAGAAATAACCTTTCCTGTCCTCTAGCCTGTGTTTTCTTGGCTTTATCTTGGCTATTCACATGGGAACCTCATTCTGGAACATAATTTCTTTGCAACCAGGACCAAAGTACATTTTCAATTTATCACAATCGTCTGAGTGTGTCACACTGCTTCTGCCTTTACAAGTTTATATGCCATACCAGTTTCACTGTTCCTTTGTAAAGTAACACTGATAGTTCCTAATTAAATATCTTTTGGGAAGATCCTTGACAGTTATACCTTTAATTTGGTGCTCTTGCAGTCAGCAGAACAACAAATCAGTCATGGCTTCTGTACATATATTTGCAACAAGCAATTGAAAAATGAAGGTGCTCAATGTTTGTAATCTGTCTTAGAGAAGGAGCAGCTTAGATCATGCAAAGTTTTCTCCTGCTGATGATTTATAGATGCTTTAGTTACTGAAATCAATAAATGTTTTACTTTCAGCAGCTGAAGATCTCGCCCAGATTATGTTCAGCTGAGAGAGTTATAAAGTACAAGCAATACAAGCCTTGAAAAGTCTCAAAAATATATTAGCTTGAGAAATCTGAAAATTAAGTGACAGAATTTTTTTAGTTCTCTTCATTGTCTTAATTTTAGTTATGTCCCACTTATATATGTTGGTGAGCAGCATTACTGGACGTCTACATTCATAACACTTGATCCTCCATCAGTCCTTGATGGGATTGAATTCTGAATCACCTCTGAATCAAGACTGCTAAATTCAGCTTGGGTCTTTCCTATTTTACAAAAAGAAGTTTTGACTAATCTGTTTCATTCCTGGATGAAGGGCAATTCCTTGTTCCTTTCCCTCTTTAAGAACAGTGGAATGTAACTTAATACAGGGAAACATATCCTGGATGATTGTGAGCCAGCAATCTATCAGGGTCAAATATTCCCACTAAGCTTTCAAAAATAAAAATTAAAATAAGCCAAAACTGAGGCTTATGGTCTCTGCTTGGAACAACCTGGAACCAGACTGTGAGGCTCAAAGGGATTGCAGCGACTGCACAGTCCTTGTGGGCAAAGATGCATACACATAGATTTTCAGTTTCTCATGGACATTAATTGGTTTTCCTTGTTATAAAATTTCATTTCCCAAGACTTCTGAGCTGTATTTCCTCCCTGGATACACTTAAATTTCTGTCCTATTGTTGTGGGTGGTGGTTTGCTTAAGCATGTGCCTGTTGTTGTGGCCTATCAAAGGTACTGTGGTAATGTGATCTGCTTGATATGAAGCATTCAGCGCTTAAGAAATATAATCTAGGACAGAATATTGGGAATATTTGATCTATCGATCCAGGTAGCAAAAAGGACATTCATTTATTGATCAATTTTAATGCTAGATTATTATAATATTTAGCCAAAAATACTACCACTTTTTTCTCCACTGGTTTGTTTGATTTCCTTTTTTCGTGTGTGTGACTATATTTTTTTCCTATTTTCTCAGAATGTTTCAAGTGATCTGGAGTGTGGAAAGAACTTCTATGATTTTCAGAATGAGTGATGGTTTATGGATATAGGCTACAGGAATGATGTAGGCATGTTATAGTCACATGCAGAGAAGTTAAATTATTCTGTTTGGATGAAGACAAAAAGGTGCATGTTAGGAAGACACATCATGAGATAGTGAAGGATAAATTATCCTCAGTTCCTTCACCGAAACCTGATAGTGAAGGATAAATTACCCTCAGTTCCTTCGCCGAAACCTGAACCTCTCAGCCAGATTCTGTTTTTAAGTTGGGACTAAGGAGCCAGGGTGGCTTTTTCTGTACAACAGAAGCAGTTTCTGTGAGAACAAAAGTTAATTTTAAATAAAGAGCTTGTTAGAAGTCACTTAACATTAATGAGTTTATAATTCAGAGGCACTCACCCACAGAAGACAGACAGACAGACAAAATGTCAGTGAAGTTACTGCAAGGTGAAGGTGGCACTAAACTAGATTGCAATGCTGGTGGAAAAATTGCAGTTCAAGATTTAAGCACATGCCAAATTCCTGGTTACCCTGTCCATCAAAGGCTGATTCTACAAGGTATGACCTTTCTCTTGTAATGAGCATTCCCAACACTTAACTCATAACAAAGGACATCCATGGCACTGAGGATGCTGTAGAACGAGGCTTAAACATGACTTTTTCTATGTGAATTTGAAAGCTTATATTTGCGTAGCCTGTTCTTGTTCAGTGCCAAACCTATTAGACTTACTTGCACTTCACAGGTCCTTATTTGGAGAGTCTGCATCAGTGGAATGACTATTCATGGAATAAGATGGTGCTTTATTAATGATATCAAAAATCTGGACCATAGCAAGGCTGTCACCATGGAAGCCATTGAACAGTTATTGGTCTGTTGGCTGCTATTAGTGGGTTACCCAGAAGGCCATAAATGGTGGTAGGAATTCTTGCAATACATTTTGAAATAAATGTGCATTTAATTTGCAGTACTAATTTTGGTATTTGCACTGAGGATTTGTAGGAGCAACTCCATTTCAGTTTTATTCCTTTCTGGCCATGTGAAATCATGAAGTTAGCCAGAGACATGGATTTCTTCTTGAAGCACAGATGATTAGCTTAAATTAATACCAGTTATCTAGGCTAACTCTTACCATTTCCTTGTTCTGAGGAAAGCCAGAGAGATTAAAGGCTGCAAAATTATAATTTAAATATTGAGCTTTGCTAAAACTCTCAGAAGAATAATTGCAGGAAAGATTTAAAATTTCTGTGCTCCTAGTGATAAAAATGGGAATCTGGAGTCAAAGTATTAAAAGGGTTCTGGTCACTTATTGCAAACTGATCTGCATTCCTCATATTTTTATCACATATTTTAGTGTACCAAGCATTAACAGAAACATTTAGGATACTTTTAACTGCAGAAGATGACTTACTATTAAAGAGTTTAACCTAAAGTGATTGAGCTGCAGAGGTTTGGGTTTAACTTTTGAGGTTCTCTGAACACCTCCAGCTGAAGCAGTGTCAGTATCAATGTCTGTGGAATAATCCCTTGGATAGAGGTGGGTGTTGGAGAAGGAAGGGTTTTCATCCTGTCAGGGACAGAGACAAAATGCCCAGTGGGGTCCTGGGGTGTGTGGTGCTGAGCCAAGGCACAAACTACCGTGTCAGGACTGTCTCCTGGCCAAAGCCACGAGAACCCATATCTGTCTAGCAACCTTAATACGTATGCAGATGGCGACTCATGCTAAGAAAGCTATTTTGGGGTGTCTGTGGGGAAGATGATATAGCTTCCCTTCCATTGCACCACTTCCCCCCTACAGTGAGTGCACGGAATAAAAACAAGAAACAAAACCAGATGTCCTTTGAATACTTTCCACCTACTCTCATGCAGTTTCGCCACAGTCATGGAAATTTCTGTAGGGCTGATAATAATAATTAAAGAAGTCATAGTCTGAAATATGGCTTCAGGTGAGAGGTTGCTTTTGTGTCTTGGGCAGCTAAAGATCCTCTCTGGAATCCATTCTGATTCTGGAGCAGCAATTGGATTAGATTTTAAAAGTGGGACACAGAGAAAAGGACTTTTTTTTTTTTCTTTCTAGTTCAGGGCCTGTGGTTGAGTCACAGCCTTTACACTGGCTTATTCAGCCTAGGATCGTGTGACATCATGCAGGGTTCACGGATCCAAGGATTCTCAAGAGGATTTCTGTTCAGCCTAAAGGTTTGCACAGAATAGACTCAAGGCATTCAGGAGAGTTTAATTAAATCATCGCTGATGTATATCAAAAGAAATCACTTGGAAAAATAAAAAGCTGCTTCATCTTGTCTAGCCTTCTGCTTTAAGGTTGAACCAAACTGCTTGGAGGTTTTCTAGAAAGTGTTTCTTATTAATTAGTGACTTTTTTAGGACACCTCTTTATTACTCTGGTGTGTCAGAGAACACAGACAGTAGAGAAAGAGAGGAGGAGGAAATGGAATTTCTTGGGATACATGGTCCTGAAGGTGCAAGGGTGAATGCTTTAGTCCCCAAAGTGCCCATGGTATTTTTGCTTCTTTGCACACTTGATAATGTCCCAGCAATGAAGCTTTGAGCAG